TCCACCCCAGAGGCGGCTGCATTTCAGCACCAGCCCAGCCATCCCCGCAGTGTTGCCCTTAGCAGCTTGCTCTGCTCCACCCCAGATGGGCATTTCCAGAGCAGATGTGTGATCTGCAGCGGGCCTTTGGATGGAGAAGCAGTAGAGGCATGGTAGCAGCAACATACGTCCTTTTGGGGGCCCCCCCGTCTAATGATCAGAGCTAGCAGAGAGCTGAAGCAGAGGCAGGCCGGAGCTCAGGGAAAGAAGAGATTCAGAGATGGGACGGTTCAGCGAGGCATCTGTCAGGGATGGTGTAGACGGAGCTTGGTCCTGCCTTGAGGGCGGGGGGCTGGACTCGATGACCTCTCGAGGTCCCTTCCAGTCCTATGATTCTATGAGGCATTGACTAGCACAAAAAGAGCGAAATGAAAACACACTGCTCTTACCCTGAGATTCACTCCTCTCCTGAAATTGGGATCAAATCCAGAAATGCTAGTTCCCAGGCCCCCTGTTCTCTAACTCCCTAGACCTCACTTCCCTTCCACAGCTGGGGAAAAAACCCAGGAGCCCCACATCCCAACCTCAATGTTCTAACCACAAGGTTTCATGCCCAGCTCTGGGAGAGAACACAGTGTTACTGCAGGCATGATGGCAGCATATAAGGAAATAGGAGTATCGGCACATATGATGCACCGTGGACCTGCAGAACTCACTGCTGCAGGACTTTCTCTCCCTGGGATGAATATTTATTGAAAGCAAACCAAAGAGCCTACGTATGTGGGAATCAAGCTTATGCCCTTTATGAGGTATAGAGAAAACTTTCAAGGTAAGGGGTTTATTTGGGAGGGGCGAGTGAAATCTGTTCTTAATTTAGAAAATAGCAAAACTTCCAAGCCTGGATTTCTCTGTTGTGCTGGAGGCCACCTTAAGGGAACCAGCGAGGCAGATCAAGAGAGGCTGTAAGGGAAAAGGAGCTGAGAAACGGGTTTCACAAAGACAGTTCTTCTCCCAGCTGTTTTGGGGGTGTTTGAAATAAATGCAAAGAAACAGCCTTCAACTGAACACAAACCAATAGCACCTGTTCATCTTCCAAAGTATCCACAATGCTGGAACCACCACCAGTTCTTTAGTCACCTTGAGAGACTGCCAGGGGAGACCCCTAGATTTCTAGCATTCAAAAGGAAGCAAGCAGGAGGAGGAAAAAAAAAACACCTCACCCAGGGAAAAATCCAGACAAGCCCCCTTTATACATCAGAAAGAAGCATGGAAGGAAACAGGCGCACAGCCAGAGATTGTCCTGGTCAGAAGAAAAACACTTTAAACGTTGTGATCAACACCATTTGCAGTTACGAAGAGGAACACACAGAGTGCTTCAAGCTCTCATTTCAGGCAGGGCCTTGGCAAAGATGGGTGTGTATTGGGGAGGGGGAAGGGATGGCAGTGGGTCGAGATGGAAGAGCACTGGTAGAGCAGTGGTGCCAGTCCAGCTGAGCGAGAAACCCAGGGCAGGGCTAGCAGGGTGCCAGCAAAGCTGGGGGGGAAGGTTAGGCAAGCAGGAGGGGGGTCACCAATAGAATTGGAGGGGGGAGAAGCTACTCCTGGGGGAATTCTGCACCACTGCGCACAATTCACGTGCTGCCCACAATTTTTCCCGCAGAAAGCAACTGTCTGCCAGAGTTGTCATAGTTCTGCCTTTCAGCCACCAGGGGCCGCTGTGGCGCTAGGACAGAGCAGAGGCCTCTGGGTGAACCCCAGCTGTGGAAGGGAAGAGGCTGCCTTCTTCGCAGTGCTAGCAGGGGCAGGGCAGGAGACCAGGGATACAGATGGCAGGTGGGGGGGAGGGAAGAGGGGCACCCGGGGCTGCCAATTCAGAAGGGCTAGTGGGGGAGGACTGACTGGGGCAGGAGCTGAGCAAGAGTGGAGGCACAGGGCCATATGGGGACAGGAGGGCTGAGGGGGTGCAGAGACACAGGGAGGTGCAGGGACACATGGGGAAAGGGGGTGGCTGAGTGGGAAGAGGGACAGCGACGGATGGGGTAGCTGTGCTGACTGAATGGGACAGGCTAGGAGTCAACCAGGGTTCGCGCTGGGGAGGGGATCTCCCTACAATCCCTCCCCATAAAAGACTGTTCCATACTTCCCCCAGCCACCTCCAACTTGACACCCGGACTCCATCCCAGCAATTACTTCCTGGTCCCTCAGCTCCTCCATGACACCTGACTCCCCCCAGCCTCTGCAAGGTGCTGGAAAGCCAGTGCTGTACTTTCCTTTAAATGAAAATGACTCAGAGGTCTGTATGAATATGGGTCAAACCTCTCTCGTCAGGCATCCTCGGGATCTAACAGCTGCCGAACCAGAGAATTCGCCAAACCACAGGAGGTCAATACTGTCTAGCAGTATTACCAACACTTCCGTTGCTTCCTAGGCTTTAAAAGACATTTGGGGTAACGAAGGCCGGAGCTAACAAGACCCGGCCATTCGGCTTAAGGTACGCAACTCCAGCTATGTAGAATAGGTAGCTGGAGTCATCTTAGCTTAAGCCAACCATAGCGGCCTCCTCACAGCAGGAAGCCGACGGGGGAAAACACCCCCCTTGACTACCCTTCCTCCTCGCAATAGGAGTACCTAGGCGGGGGCATCTTTGGAGTTCGATTTAGCAAGTCTTAACAAGAGTCATTAAATCGAACACTGGAAGATCAATCGCAGCAAGATCAAATCTTTCTTTTACTGTAGAAAAGGCCTCAAAGCTAAGTCGCAGCACAGAAAGCCAGGACTGGGGGCTGTAAACAAACTTTATGGGACTGCAGGAAACTTGGCCACACCCACAATAAACGGACACTCAGCTAACCAAAATCATGCCAGACTACGGATGTTGCTGGACCAGAGTGTGCCAGACTAGAGAGGTTCAACCTGTATGCCTCGTAGGGAATGGATTTGTCAAAACTAGGGATGTAAGCGACTAGTCGACTATCTGATAAGCAGAAGCTTATTGGACAGTTGACAAGTGATGTGACTAGTTCCTTTCCCCCTCCCTGCCACTGCTGTCCCTCTCTGATAGAGGCAGCAAGGGGGGGAATGCAGGAACCCGGGCTGGCAGGAGAGGGGGGGAAGAGCAGGAGCTGGTGCTGGGGGGAGCCGGCTTAAAAGCCGTTTCCTCCCAGAATCTTCTCTGCGGGAGGAGCTAGAGGCACAGCGGGAAATGGTGCAAGCGATTCTGCTGCGATTCTGCTTTTGAAATGTACAAATATAAAATGTAACATCCCTGGTCAAAACCATGTCCTGAATCTCCCTCGCGTTATTCCAGATGCACTTGCTGAGAGGCATTTTGAAATAAATTCCCAGAAATCATTGCAACGGGTGTGACTGTGATTATATTGTGTTATTTCCACAGCTGAAATATGCAGAATTTGGCAGAACTTTAAAACACTGTGCGCAAACTTTATCATATTTTGGGCGCAGAATTTTCCCAAAAGTAAGACGAGTCAGAAGCCCAGGGCATTCCAGATGCACTTGCTGAGAGGCATTTTGAAATAAATTCCCAGAAATCATTGCAACGGGTGTGACTGTGATTATATTGTGTTATTTCCACAGCTGAAATATGCAGAATTTGGCAGAACTTTAAAACACTGTGCGCAAACTTTATCATATTTTGGGCGCAGAATTTTCCCAAAAGTAAGACGAGTCAGAAGCCCAGGGCTGAGTTAGCAGGGGGCAGCATAGAAGAGGCAGGAAGGCACTGCGGGACAAGCCCAAAGCTGAGCTAGGAGGGGGTGGTGTGTTGGGCAGGGGGGGCCACTGATAGGTCTGTGATGAGAAGCCCTGGGCTGGGCTGGCGGTCCACACACAGGGCACAGGAAAGGGGGTTGGAGAGGGGGGAGGGGAGAGAAGGCCACAGGCACAGCTGTGCCCCGGCCCACCGCAGAC